AGTAAATGAACTGCACAAATAATGCCTTAAGAGAAATATAAAAGAAAAAGGAGGAAAATTTTTTAAATAAAAAAGAAATGAAGAAATGGGTTATGAGTTTCTTTTTGGGGGTGGTAATGAAATGTTCTAAAATTAGATAGTGGGAGCGGGGGTTGCAAAACTCTGAATATACTGAGAACCTCTGAACTGTACACCTTAAAAGGGTGAATTTTATAGTATGTGAATTATATCTCAATAAGCTGATAGCTACAGATACACACATAGATCCATGATCGGGTCCCTACTATGGGCTCTATCTGACCTCCAGATATTAAATCAGAATATCTGGAAGTGGAAAAAAAAAGATAAATGAAGAAAAAAGTAAAATATCCAAGAGGAAGAGACAAATATTGAAGACAGGCTATGAAGACCTAACATACAGATAATAGGAGTCCCTAAAGAAGCGATGCAAAGAAAGGGAACAAAAAAATTCTAAAAACCGTAATTCAAGACAGCTTTCTTGAAATTAAAAAAAAGATTTGAAACTACATATTGAAAGAGTATATCACATAACTGAGAATATCATCCCAGACTGACCATATTCTAGAAAAATTACTAGATTTAAGAAAAATGGAAAGAGAAAAAAATTTGGGGGGCATCTAGGCAAAAAGAGTAAGTGACTTATGATAGAAAAAAATAGATAATTAGGCTTTTCTTCTTTTCTTTTTTTTCTTTTCTCTTCTCCTGAGTCAGAGTCTCACTCTGTCACTTGGGCTAGAGTGCTGTGACATCAGCCTAGCTCACAGCAACCTCAAACTCCTGGGCTCTAGCGATCCTCCTGCCTCAGCCTCCCGAGTACCTGGGACTATAGGCTCACATCACCATGTCCGGCTAATTTTTTCATTTTTAGTAGAGACAGGGGTCTCGTTCTTGTTCAGGCTGGTCTTGAACTCCCGACCTTGGCCTCCTGGAGTGTGCTAGGATTATAGGCATGAGCCACTGGGCCGATAATTAGACTTTTCATCAGCAATGTTCAATGTTTTATGTCAGAAGAAAAACATTTAAGATGCTGAAAAAGAAAGAAAGAAACAAGAAAGAAAGAAGGAGGGAGAGAGAAAGATTAAAGGATTTTAGACACAGCAAAACTGACTTTCAAGCATAGAGACTAGACAAACTGTCATGAACCTGCAAGAACCGGAGAACGCTGCTCACATGAGCCCTTCTGTGGGAACTGTTAGAGAACAAGCTTCAGATAAAACCAAGATAAGTGGAGAGACATTGATACAAAGATTGGTCAGTGTGTAATTCCTTGCAGAACAAAGATAAAAGAGGGTTAACAAGGAGCAGTCACGGTGTGTGATGGCGGTATGCTTCGACGGTGTGGACACAGCACAACTGGGGGCAGAAGGGGACAGCATCTGCAAAACAAACTTTCACTGCTTTCAAAACAAAATTGGGGGTGGTAGAGTCGGTGCCATCATTCTGAGACTGTTGAGCATGTAGTGTGAGAGAAAGCAAATTGGTAACTGTGGGATATTCTAATTCTTTGATTCTCCCTGTCCCTGAGAAGCAGGATTCCTGACGTGGATCCAAAGAGATACTACTGTAATAGAGAGAGGTCAAGCACCGAAACTGAACTGGGAGTGTCACTATGAGCTTATGGAGTATTTTACCTTTAAATACATATCTACGTATAGTACTACATATGTGTGTGTGTATGCACACGTATGGATGTATACACGTGTGTCTGTGTAGCGCTGGCCACTAAGAAAGCCCAGAAACAAAGACCAACCCAGCAGCAAGGAGCGCCCAGATCCTGGTCTTGAAATACCACTTGCCCCTAAAAACAGAAAGTAAAACAGGGCTTCATGAAGAAACGGCTCAGTCCCTGTCTCGAGCAGCGACAGTAGCAGACGAGGCTGGGCCACCTCGTCATGCCAGATAGCAAGGAAGCTGTCAAAACCACTAGGGTTGTGTGAAAAGGAGTCAGGAGACAGATTGAAGATCTTCCACTGGCCAAAGATGGGACATTTTAAGCTTCATAAAGATAATAATTGCAAAGCATTGAAACACATCAAATAGGTTTATATCTAAGATATTGATTAAAAATACTACATAATGGTGCTAGTAAAAAATGAAGTTATTTGGTCACCCCACCTTCAGAGGATGACAGGGAGCAAATTCACTACCTTGGAACCTGTTGAGTCAGGGGATGGATTAGGCTTTTCTCCTGCCTCCCCCATATGCGAAGTGCCGGTGGGTAACACCCACGGGTACGGGCGGCATTCCGGAGAACCCGCTTCCGCAAGGGCCTCAGCACAGCAGCGTGACTCCCAGTGCATGAACGGATCTAGACACAGCGATGCCTCCGGACGGAAGAACCCAGAACCCTCTGGTCCTGCCTGGGGGGTAGAACTGGAGTCCCACCAAGGCTCTGGACCCAGAGGACAGCGGAAGCAGCTGACCTGCACCAGGGGTGCACCACCAGTGACCTCCAGACCGTGGGAGAGCCAGGTCAGGCGGCCCGGGGTCTCAACAGACAATGTGTAAGGAAAAGAAAGAGATGCAGGGGAACCGGTAGGTTAAGAGAGACCCAAAGACATATACGGACATGTATTTTTTTAAAAAGAGCAAAACCAAATCCCAGTGTCTTGGGCTGTATGGTCAGGCGAAAACTACGAAGGAACACAAGGAAAAGTCAGCTCAGACCAGTGGCCACTTTGGGTGGGGGGAGGGGCTGTGATTTTGATGGTGGCGCCTGGAGGGCTTCTGGGGAGGCTGGCAGAGTTCTTGGCCTGGGTGGCAGTTTCCAGGCTGGTTTGCATTAGAATGATTCATCGAGCTCTAACTTGTTCACGGAGGTTTTCTGTATCTGTGTTTTCATTTACAACAAAAAAGATTTTTTAAAAAACTAAATCTAAGTCAGATCCTGTCCCCACTTTGTTCAAAACCCTCTAATGCCGTCGCTTCTGCTGAGAGGAAGGGCCAGCGACCCGACAGGCCACGCCCCCCTCATCCCCCTCTGCAGCGTCCCCACCTTTCCCTGGCTGTTCTCCCTGCCCAGGACGCTCTTCCCCCACAGGTGCCCGGGCCAAGCCCTCATCTCCCAGGCCTCTCTCCACATCGCCTTCCTGGGGCTGGTTCCTTCAACCCCAAGCACGGCCTATCCTGCGCTTCCTCCCCGCGTAGCATACTGTGCATGTGACGTGTTACATATGTCATACAGTCACTCCTCCATCGTGGGTTTGGTCTGGCAGGGGTTTCTGCCTGTGCATGCCTGGCGCCCACAGCAGTGCCTGGCACACGGCAGCCAACTGAATACATGGGCCCCAGGCGGAGGCAGCCGCTGGTGCTGTTCTGCCCAGTACTGCTCTGGCCAGGGCCCTGCCCAGTTGTCACAGCCAAGACGCCGGTGCCTGGAAAGGGCAGCTCTCCTTACAGAGAGGGCCTGGGTGACACTCGTCCCTCCCCAGCCCAGGTGTGCCGCAAGTGGCCTGGAGGACCACTGAACACAGACAGGAAGCCACGGGCACCATAACGCCATGCTCAAGCCCGGGGAGTGGCAGGGGCTCAGCACTACACCCCCAAGTGCCATGTGCGTAGGTGTCATGCACATTTTCTGCTAGTGAAATTGCTCCCTGTATCAAACTGATCAATATTTTATGGTGACCCCCAAAGAGCACTCTGACTTCCAGGGCTTCCACCCTACACGTTTGAGAACTACGGACTGTCACAGTTAGTTGAAATTTCCTTCTGAACCTTCCGAGACTCCTCACCACCAGCGCCCCCACGGCCCCCACTCTGCCCCACACCCACTCTCTGGCTCACCTCTGCCCGCCTCGTGCTCACGTCCTTGCCCAGCCTGTCGCCGCATGAACGCCACGCCCTCTGTCCTCCCGGTCTAGCCAAGCCCCACTCCCTTTTCAAAGCTCCTTCATCCCTCCACAGTCTCTGAAGCCCTGCTCAGTGCCAGGTCCCATGCCAGGCCCTGAAGCCACAGAGCAAAGCAGACCGCGTCCCAGCCCTTGCAGAGCTCCTGGTCTGGAGCGACAGAGGCAGGCAAGGTAACATCTACGCGCAGTTATCACAGCTGAGGTACCGGGGGGCTTCCGGGTGCCAGGGTAAACAGTTTACACTCATTACTTCACTTCATCCTCTCAAGAATCCTACAAGGCAGTTATTATGATCGTCTCCCTTTCTCAGAGAGATAAACTGAGGCACAGAGTCCAAGGTCACAGAGCGAGTAACTGGCGAAGCTGGGCTCTGATCCCAGATGCTCAGGCCACGGAACCGCGGCATGCTAAGGAGAGATAGAAGCATCTGTTGGAGTCCAGCGGGAGGAGTGACTGAACCTGCCCGGGGGTCAGGGAGGCTTCACAGAGGAGGGACAACCATGCTGGACTGTGACAGTCCAGGCTGAGGGCACCGCAGGACAGCAGAGGGGAGGTGAGGACCCTGGTGAGGGCCAGCCCTTCAGGCTGGGTGGGCTGGGCTGGGGCTGTCAGAGAGGGGCTGCTGGATCTGCAGGGCCTGGGTCCCCTTGCTGAGGAGGCTGTGTTTAGCTCTGTGGGCAGCAGGCGTGTGGAAGGGTCTTCCTCATGGGAGTGACGTGCTCAGATCCCTGCGGCTGCTCCCTGGGAGGCTGGAGGAGGAGGGAGGCACTGGGGAGGCGGGGAGGGGGCAGCGTCCTGGGACCCGATGCTCCCCCACTCACTCTGGAATCTTAGGTGATGACTACATCTCTGAGACTCAGTTTCTTCCCCTGTAAAACGGGGGCAGAAATGCCACCAGCCTCCTTGGGGTGCCAGAAGCTCGAACAAGCTATTGCAGGGAACTGTGTCCAGCAGAGCCAGGCGCTGGCAGGTGTTAGAAGGGTAGACTCTGTTGTCATGTCATAGGGCCAGCTGGGGGCTGGGAAGTCCTCCCTGAGAAGGGAACCTGGGAGATTGGGCCCTGTTCTCCTTGGCATGCAGCCTGCTTTCCTCGAGTGACCTGGCCAGGCGCTGGGGTCAGATACTCACTATCACCTCCAGGTCAGAGTTCAAGTGCCGCTGGGTGTCCGACATCTGCACCAAGATCTCACCTGCAGGCACAGACAGGACTGGAGCTGTGGCTTTAGCTTGGGGAAGCCTGCCCTGCCCTCCCTCTTCCCGCCAGAAGCCAACAGAGCACCTGCCCGAGGCCGGATCTGGGACCAAAGTCCCGGGATTTCCTACATGGCTCTCAGGGACTCAGGCATGCTGTCCCAGCCCTGGAGCAGCCCCGCAGGGAGTGGCAGGGAGCGGCCTGGGCTCAGAAGGAGAGGCTGGGCTCTGGGCCCTGGGCTGCAAGGCCTGTGTCAGGGGAGGGGACATCCCAGGAGGCAAATGTGCAAAAGGAACCCCCTGTGGAGCAGGGCGGGCTAGGAGGAGGCCGCCAGGCCAAGAAGAGGGTGCAGTGCAGGGGCAGCGCCTCACCCAGAATCTGTGAGGTGGAACTCTGCAGGGCCTGCTCCCCGATCTTCTGGATGGCACTGAAGTATATCTCAGCCGCCTCGGACAGAGCTGCAGGGTGAGAAGGGACGGCTCCAGCCCCTGCCCCCATCCACTCCCACCCTCTCGGAGACTCCTCCTTTCACCCGCAGGGGGCATGTATGTGTGTTGGGGGGGGTGCCCTGGGAGGTATGTGGAGGTGAAGCATGGGCCAGAGGAGAGCAGGGGTCGGGGGGAGGACGAGGTAGGGGTTCCCTTTGCAGGACAGCTGCACCCAGCCCAGGGCCTGGTGGTGAGCAGGACCTCGGTGTGCCTGTCGTGGGTGGGTGCGGGCATCTGTGTGCCCATGAGGAGGGTGGGCAGGTGTGCCATAAGGCTCCGGGTGACGGCGTGGGCAGGGCAGGCTTTGACTCTGAGCTCCTAAGAGGCAAGGGATGGGCGGCCCTCAGCCTTGGGGGTGACAGCGCTGGCGGAGGGCGTGCTGCTGGAAGTACGGGCAGCCACAGTGGCAGCTGAAGGGGTTTGTGCGGGGACTGAGAAGTGGTCAGGGCAGGCTGCAGGGTGCATGGATGGGTGGCCAGTGGGGTGAGGCTGGGGGTGCAGTGGTAGGACTGGGGATGGGGGTGGGTTCAGTGGGTGGCATCGAGGTGACACCTGGAAATGCATGTGTTTTCAGGGGTGGGTGCTGGGGGTGGCGTGGGCCTTTGTAGGGCACTGTGTCTCAGAAGCGTCTGGGGCACCTGAAGGGGAGGTGGTTAGGGTTGGGGGTGTGAACTGGGATGGGTGGGCACAGGAAGTGGGGTAGTGTGGAAGGCCTCTAGCCACAGCGGTGTGAGGGTGAGGGTGGTGGGTAGGGGGGCACAGGGCCGAGGACGAGTGGAGGGTCTGGTGAATGGCAGTGTGGGGTGCAGAGAATACAGGTTGGGGGGCACCTGGTGGGTGGGGGTGGTAGAGGCCCAGGGGCTGGGTGCCCCGTGGCCTGGGGAACTCACCGTGGAAGGCCCGCAGGTAGTTGTTGCCCAGGTACACCAGGTTCTCCAGGGCGGGGTTGAACTGCTCCATGATGCTCTGGAGCCCGCGGCCAGGGCAGGGAGGGGAGGCGTGGAGACGGGAGAAGCCATGATGCACAGAGTCAAGCTGCCTGGCCTGGGAGGCAGGGCACCCCCAGCCCCAGTGAAAAGTCTCCAGACTCTGGGGAGCCCACCTAGAAACCTGGGGTCACCCAGAGTCCTGGTTCTCGGCTGCAGAGGCCTCAGAGGCCATCTCTTGGGGCCCCATTCCAAGCCAGGGTCCCCTTGCAGCCAGCTCTCGCTCACACATCTGCCCTGGAGGGACCCCAGTCCCTCCCAAGATGGTGCACCTTGAAGGTTCTCCTCCCAGTGACTGAAACCTGTCCACCTGCCTTGGCCCCTGCTGGGCACCGCTCAGCCCTGCCCTGTGTCCAGGCCTCGCTGGGCTAGACACACGGGGCTGCCGACAGTCACCTCAGGGGAAGGGCAGATCTGGCCTTCGTCAAAGAAGAGCACCCCTGGGAGCCAGGCTGTGGCTGGATCACTGTGGGCCACACCAGGCTGTGGCCAGGTGGAGAGCTCCCTGGGTGGCAGACAGCCCTGGACTTGGACTTGGGTCTTGATTCAAACCCCAGCAGCACCTCTTCCTCCCTTCATGACTTTGAACGAGCTGTTTAACCTCGTCAGTCTGTTTTCTCATCTATCAAACGGGGTGATTATTTTCTACTTCATGGGGGCAGTGCGTGACGTGAGGCTTCCATGTGAAAGGGCTCTGCATACAGGAGGTGCTCAGTAAATGTCTATGGAGATTGCAGCAGCCCCTCTGAAGGTGAAGGAGGACTCTGAGTGGAGGGCTCAGAAATGAGAGGAAGAGTCCCCACTACCAGGGGTCAGCCAGCTCCTTCCCTGGACTCACCTCTCACCCCCTAGCTCCTGGGCCCCACCCTGCCTTGCCCAGTGGTTGGGAGTCAGAGGGTCCTGCTGAGTGGGTGGCTGGCCACTCCGGGCGTCTCCACCCCCATGCCCACTGGTCAGTCCAGCCTGGCTCGGGGCCTCCCTTCCCAGAACACCTGTGGCCTGACCTCTGCACCCCAGGAGAAGTGCTCCGGCCCTGGGCCTGGGCTGCCCACGTGCTCACCTTGTAGATGGCCATGGTGGACCTGTAGAACTGGTCCATCTCGGGGGCCATGGGGCAGCTGCAGCCGTTCTGAGCAGGAGGCTGGGAGCTGGTGGCGATGGCTGAGCTGGAAGCACTGCGCGTCGGTCCCTGCAGGTGTCCACTGCTCGGCAGGCAGCGAGGAGGCTGCGGGTGGATCTGGAGACGGAGGCCTGCCTTGGAGGAGGTGGCAGCTTAATTATTCACCAGCTGGGGATGTCAGAATGTGATCTGGGGCGTAACTAGACCCAGCAGGGAAGGCATCCTGTGACGCGGGTGGGTTCGTGTGACCTGTCCTTCAATTATTTACCCCTCAAAGCCGCGGGACACTGGGCACGTGTGGATGGGCCACTCTCCCGGGTCACCGCTCCTCAAGGACCCCTGGCCCTGGGGGAGCCCCTGCCCTCCCCGCTGCCTACACTGCACATTGTCCGTGCTGTTGGGCGAGAGCTGCCTTTGTCTTCCCTGCCAGCTTCTGTAGTGGAACATGCCCATGGCTGTCACTGTCCCAGGCCTTGTCCCTGCCTGCAGCCCCTCAGCCCTGCACCTCGACAGTGGCTCCCACGCCCACCTGAGCCCACCCAGCTCCCGTGCATGCAGGGAGGGGGCAGCACAAACCTGGAGTCGCACAGACCTGGGGGCAGACCCCAGCCTTGCTCACTCGCTGCCTGACTGTGCCCGAGTCCCCTGCCTCTCTGGGTCTCAAATGGGGCTCACCCTCAGCCCCCATGGCAAGGACTGATCCCCCCTAGGGCCTGCCTGGGGTACATAGGCCTGGCAGCTGCCTCTGAACACCCTAAGGGTCTGTTTGGGGGACTCTGGATGAAAGAGGAGGTGCCCCTGCCCCAGGGAGCCCAGGAAACAGAGTCCGAGTGGGCACAGGAAAAGGACAGGTCAAGGCTGACGGTTAAGGCTGAGGGGAGGTTGGGGTGGGGGACAGGGGCGCTCACTCCATAGCACACATGAAATAGGTGAACGTGAATCCAAACCGTTTATTTCACAGTTTCAGGGCAGACCTGGAGCCCCACCCCACTCTTAAACCACTTCCATCGGAAAGAATCACTTAACTCCTAGGAGTGACCTTTGAGAGCCCTTGGGGTGGGGCGGCCCTCAGGGGTGCGGCAGCTGGGCCAGCATCGAGGGGCAAAGTCAAACGGGCATGCCACACCTGCAGCCTGGGTTTCCCCTGCGCATGACGTGGGGATGCCCTGTTTCTCTAGCCCCAGCCCCAGGGGACAGGGCAGAGGGTAGAAGGGGTGAGCTGCACCCACCAGGGAACCCGGACGGCCCTCACTCGGGCTGTGCAGAGGCAGCCCCTGCAGGCCCTCTGGGAGGCGGGGCTGGGGCAGGGCGGGGAGTGCCCCAGCACCCTTAGTGTTTGAGCTGTCAGTTGTCCTTCACAGTCGGGGAGAGGGCCAAGGGGGCTCTAGACTTTCTAAGCCTGGAATGACACAAAGTGATGGAGGGTGGGGTCAGGGCAGAGAGGCCTTCAGGACCAGCCTTGGGCAGGCAGTCGGTGCCCTCCAGTCCCATCTGTGGACGCAGAGCTGCCTCCGCCCTGGATCTGCCCAGCAGACAGTCTCCCCAGCAGGGGCTGGGTGGGAGGGCGGGGTGGGGTGGCTGGGGTCACGGTGACAGCAGCAGCTGGATGAGCTTCTGGAACTCCTCCCGGTGCTCATAGATGTAGACCTCGGTCTCCCAGAGGGCGTTGACCAGCACCGCGTCGCTGACCTCGTCCAGCATGATGTCTGTCCCCAGCTGGGGGTTCAACCTGTCCGGGCAAGGAGGAGGGGGTCACCCTAGGATGTTCAGCCTGAGTGGGGGACAAGAGCTAGGACTGGGGCGGGCTTGGGACCAGAGCAGCCCCTTGGGGAAAGAGAAAGTCCACGCCAAAGGCTGAGGGGGAAGGTTGATGGGTCCGACCAGGCCAGGGCTGGGGCTGGGGCTGGGGCCGGGCCGGGGCCGATTGAGCCCTCACCGGAAGTACTGGATGTCGACCATCTCGCACCAGGCCCGGGCCCGGTCCACGGCCCGCCCATCTGGATCTGTGCACTGGCAAGAAGCAGCCTCAGTGAGCCTCGCCCACACCGAGCACTGCCCCCTTGTCTCAGAGTCCCCACCTGGGGACACCCAGGTTCTAGTCAGGCTTAGCCACTCAGCAGCAGAGTGACTTTGGGCAAGGCCCCCTCCTGGGGCTGTGTGACTGTCCCAGCTGTGCAATCAGAGGGGCAGGGGTCTCAGCAGAGCCCATGTGGGGTCGGTGGGGGATCAGGGGGCACAGCAGCTGAGCGGACAAGCCTCCATGTCCTCTGTTCACGGGAGCTTTGCATGTCTTACACTCTGGGCTCCTGCGCCAGCTTGTTTGCAGAAAGGGATCCACAGCTAAGGAAGTTTGAGAACCTCCCTACAGATGGTCACTGAGGTCCCTGCCCAGCACTGAGACTCGGGGACTCTCTCCCCCCAGCTGGCTAAAGAGGATGGCAGAGCCCTGTGATGTCCCCTGACACCAAGGGCCCCACGGGGCGAGGGTGCAGGCATCAACCTGGGCTGCAGACCCTGTGGGCAGCGGCCTGGGGAGGAGCCCACACTCACGCAGTCCACCACCATCTTGCCCAGTTCCTTGGCCCCAAAAACAGTCTTGGCCAGTTCCCAGGGGTTGCTGGGACGGAAGACGTCCACACAGGTCACGGGCACCTGTGGGGACCTCCCTGTCCCCAGAGAGACGACGATGGAGAGTTTCTTCACTTTGTTGCCCTGACCCTGTTGGAAAAGGACAGGGCAGTCAGAGGGGACCTTCTGCAGGTGGGGGCACCCCGGGGAGAGTCAGAGGATGGCCCAAGGCTGGGCGCTGGGGCACATGAGGACAGGGAAAGAGGCCTCTGGTGGCAAGAGCACGCCTGGTGCTAACCCCAGCCCAGCCCCTTGCACGCTGGGGTCTGGCCGTGGCCTCTGAGCTGCAGCCCCTTCCCCCGGAAGGGCTGGTGTGACGTTGTGAAGCATGTTGTGTACCAACACGGCCTGCACACGCACCAGCCACACACCCTGTCTGCTGCTGGACTGAGTCAAGGTGGTGGCCAGGGGAGCAAAGGGAGGAAGCATTCCTTGGTTTCTGTCATTTGCCAGGTGTTTGCATCATTATCTCATTTAATCCTCCACCCAGTCTGTGGTGAGGGCACTGGTTCCCCCAGATCACAGACGAGGACCCAGCAAAGCTGGGGTGTGGGGAGAGGCTTGCCCGGACCACAGGGCAGGGAAGTGGGGGCCAAGGCTGGAACCCAGGGCCCTGGCTGCTGCCACTCTCAACTGCTTCATATCAAGATCTGCTGCCACTTAGCTGGGTGACCTTGGGCGAGTCCCTGCTGCTCTGCGTCGCATGCTCTTCACCCACAATAGGAAACTGAGACTGGAGGGTGTCCCAGGAGCCCTCCCATGGCCTGACAGTCTTTGCCACCTTCAGGAAGCCCGCCCCGCCTGGCCTGGCCCCTAGAGGGCGCACTCTTCCCTGACCGCACATGCCAGGCCAGGGGCTGTTCATTAAATCCTTGCAGCGACCCCCAAGCAGGTACGACTGTCACCCCTAAGGGGTAGGCTGTTGGGCTGCAGGGCCTGAGCTCACGCCACTGCACCACACTGCCCCTCCTAGCTCCGGGGGCCTTGCCCACCTGTGCTCTAACTCCTCAGGGTGAAGGGTGCCTCTTGTCCTCCGGATCACTGATTCTGCACTGCCCTGTCCCCAAAGGCCTGGACATGGAACCTCTTTCAAGCCCCCAGGCCTCTTAGCAAAGCTGATCTTCCTCCTGGGCCCAGCACGGTCCTCTACCATGGCGCCCGGAACACGTCGGGGCATGTCCTTGGTTATGGGCTGTCTCTCCCCTAGATGTGGGCTCCTCAAGGGCAAGTGCGTGTCCCCAGGCTGGCCACAGAGTGACACACATGCAGCATGCATGCTGCCCTCCCCACTAATGGCAGACGGAGTGCAGACTGGGCCTCAGAATCCCTCTCAGCACAGAGCTGCAGGCAGCCCCCACCAATCATGTAGGTTCAAGCGTGAGACAACATTGCTGTTCCACAAACGAATAAACGCATGAGTGACGGCCGCCTGCTCTCCCGGGAGTCAACCCCTAGCGAGGTTCACTGCAACAGGGCGGCTTCAGTGAGAGCTCCTGTCCCGCTGACCTGGGACGGTGCTCACCTTGCGGATCAAGTCCTGGTTGTACTCGTGGATCTCGGTCATGGCGTCCAGTGTGGGGTTGTTGGCCAGCAGCCCGCCGTCCAGGAAGCGCCCATTGGGTCGGAAGTAGGTGGGGGCTGCCCCACTGCTTCGGGCTGCCCGCCACACGAGCTGGTCTGGGGTGGGGGAGGAGGGGGGCCCAGCGGCAGAAGGCAGAGGTATGAAACCCGTGCACTTCGGGTCTCAGGGTAATGTGTTGGGGGGCCGGGGTGCGGGAAGAGAGGGAGGCTGGGGACTCGTCAGAAGCAGGCCCTGTGCTGTCTGGCCCGGCTGTCCGGGTGGAAAGCAGCCTGTGGCTGAGGGCTGAGGACCCCCTGGGGCCTCCTCTAGCCTGCACGAGGTGGGCAGCGCCCCAGCAATGCCTGTCCCTAGCCAATAAAGACCAGGGCGGTGGGTGGGCTGGTGGTGGGGTGAGGGTGCAACTGTGCCTCCCACCCACCACCCTGAAGCCTCTCAGACCAATTGCTTCCCATGGACACATCAAACGTGGTTTTAACCTGCGGGCAGAGTTGGAGGCCTTAGGTTAACGTTCTGGCTGAAACGAGGCTCCCGCACGGATTCCGGAGCATTGTAATTCCGGAAGAGGTGGAGCTCAGCCGGCTGCCGGTCAGACAGCGTCCCCGTCAGCATCACCCTGAGAGAAACGAGGAAGGCGCACAGCTGAGCCACCCACTCACCCACCTGTCCCCTCGCCTAACGTTCACACCCAGGCCCTGGGCAGCAGAATCCCCACTCCCACAGGCCCCCGGGGGCCCCCCTCTGCTCCGGATGGGGGGGCTTCTCCCCAACAAGCTCCCCCAAATAGCTCTCTCCTGCAGTGTCAGCCTGAGCCAACCGCGGGGGAGCAATAGAGCAATCTTTGTCCAAATTGCCGAGGGCCTTATCTTACTCCCAGTGATGTCCCTTCTGGGAATTCATCCTAAGAAGCTGTCACACTGTGGGAGACAGGTGAGCAAGGCCACTAACGGCACCACTGGCCGTTAGAGCAAACGACTGGGAACAACTGAAGTGTCCATCGGCAGGACAGTTCAATGCAGCATGGCCCACACACCAGTGGGGTCTGTGTCACCACAGAATGACGGAGGAAGCAAGTGCTCTATGTTCCGATGGGCATGAATGCCAAGATTTATGGTTCCATGGAAAAAGCACAGTTCAGGACTGTGTTCAGTATGGCACCATTTATTTTAAAACACAAAAAACATACATACCTATCCGCTTGGTCAGAGGGTAATTCTGAAAGGCCCAGGAGTGGCACCTGGCAATAGTGAGCTGACTTTGGGGAAGGGAACTGCTTGGTGGCTGCAGCTCTAGGACAGGAGTGGAAGGAGACTTTTCACTCTGTCACCTTTAATACCTTTTCGGTGTTCCACCATGTGAGTCTACAGCTCATTAAGGAAGACTCCTACTTATCTTGAGAGACGCAGACATCCTTAAATACTGCTGGCACCGCCCCCTGGAAAGCTAGTATGTATCAATTAAGATTCTTACAAATGTCCTGGCTCTTTCATCTGAGAATTTCACTTTGGAAAATCTATCCTAAAGGAATAATCTTCACTACAATGAAAGCTTCTTATATAAGACTATTCATCACAATGTAATTCATTATAGTGAAAAATCTAAATGGAACAATAGAAGGGGTAAGAAAACAAGGAAATGTTTTGCAGCCGTTCATAACTGTGCTTACAAGCAGTTCAGAGCAATACAGAAATACATCTGTTATATTGAAAAGAAAAACATAAAGGAAAGTGAACAAAAAACTGCATAGAAATAAAAAGGATTAGTTTTCCATTTCTGGGAATACTGTGGGAAGATTATTTGTTGTTTTGGTTTTTTTTGTTTTGTTTTGTTTTTTGTTTTTGAGACAGGGTCTTGCTCTGTTACCCAGGCTGGAGTGCAGTGGCTTGATCATAGGTCACTGCAGCCTCAAACTCCTGGGCTCAAGCGATCCTCCCACCTCAGCCTCCTGAGTAGCTAGGACTACAAGTGTTTACCACCACACCTGGTTAATTTTGTTTTGTTTTGTTTTTAGACAGGGTCTTGCTCTGTCACCTGGGCTAGAGTGCAGTGGCATCATCACAGCTCTGCAACCTCAAACTCCTTGGCTCAAGTGATCCTCCTGCCTCACCCTCCCGAGTAGCTGGGACTATAGACACATACCACCACGCCTGGCTAATTTTTTTATTTTTTGGAGAGACGGGATCTTGCTCTTGCTCAGGCTGGTCTCAAACTCCTGGCCTCAAGCAGTCCTCCTACCTTGGCCTCCCGAAGTGCTGGGATTATAGGGAAGATTGTCTGAACAACTCTCTCACTCAAAAAAATTTAAATGCTGACAAAAATATTTTTGAAAACCTTCTTAAAAGCATAGACAACATGACAAGATAGAAAGGAAATACCAGGGTAAACTCTGGGGATAAGCAAGAAATCAGAGGTCAATGGAGCACCTACCTAGCTTTAACCTGAACACAGATATCAAATTCAGTAAACTTGAACTTCAGTGTACATGACCTCACAGGGTGAGGGAGACAGAAGTCAAGGCCCATCACAAGAAAGAAGTGTAACGAGACCCTCCCCCCATTAGGTTGGGACCCCAAAGGGCTACATTCTCAGGATAAAGATGAACCAGAAATAAACACACCCCTAGAGGCTGCAAGGAAAGTTGTCTTGGCACTGGACAAAACAGGGAGAAAAAAAATCCCTGAAAACTAACCCTCTTATAAATTTGTAGTCCAAATTCACATCACCTGGGGAAAGTCTCAAACCCTTCATGCCAATAATTTAGTTAAAGTCGTCCTAGACAGTAGTGTACCTAGCTACCTAGAAGAGAAAACACAGTCTGGAGGAAGATACTCTCATTTTAGGCTTTAAAGAATCTGCACATATTATTTTCAACACTAAGGAGCAGTGCATAGTTTAAAATAAAGGCGGAGGCACACACAATACAATATCATGAATGAGAACCAGTGTAAACCAACATAAACAGCAAAACATACCTATATGGACTGCAGATATTTGAATCCTCAAAGATGATAAAATACATATGTTTACAACATTTAAAAACATCAAAGACAAGCTTGATAATGTCTTCAGGAGAGAGGAAACTATAAGTAATGACCTAGAAGATTTGAAGAAGAACCAAAGAGAACATTTAGACATTTTTAAAAAATACAATAACAGAATAAAAAACTCAATGGATGAGCTAAATTAAAAATTAGATAAAGCTAAAGGAAGAATTAGTGAGTTGGAAAACAGGTAAGAAGAAATTATTCAGAATGTAACAGAGAGAAAAAATGATAGAAAATACAAGACAAGTTAAAAGGTGGAAGATAGAAAAGGTCTAACACGTGTTTAGTTGGATTTATAGAAGGATAGGAGAGAGAAAATTAGGCAGAGCCAAGAGTTAGAGATGACTCAGGTTTCTAGAACTGAAGAAAGACACTAATCCAAAGATTCATGAAGACCAACATATATCACACAGGATAAATGAGAAGAAATCCATATCTATATATATCATGGGACAACTGTAGAGCACCAAAAATAAACAAACAAATAAAAGCATCAAGAGTAAAAAAGACCAATTACCCTCAAAGGAATGAAATGGACTCTGTGACTGCAACAATAGAAGTTAAAAGATGATAAAATGATACTTTACATACTCTATGAGAGAATCGGCAGGCTGGAATTCTATATCTAATAAGAGTAAGAGTGAAATAAAACTATTTTCAAATGATGACAGTGAAATAAACATATTTGCAAATAATTCTGTTAGTAGAGAATTCACTACCAGCAGACTAGAAAAGTGATCATATATGGAAGTTTGAGATGCAAGAAAGAATGCAGAGCAAAGAAGGGACACACACATATACATATACCTACATACATACACATATGTATAAAGACACCTACACACACACATGCCAATGGTGTCCTGGAGCCACCAGTACTGGCTTGCCAGAACCTATTGCTAAATCTTACAGGCTGGTTGTTAAACTGTTGGTAGCTTGAGATTGGCCACAGTGGGAGTATTTATGCCACGGGAACTGGCAAACACTACAAATCACACCACCCCCAGCAGTGTTTTACCAGCATACCAGGTCATATTAGACAAATCTAAATGAACATCAACTTCAAAAAACAAGAATAATATCTTTCGAGGCTTAAAAAAATAAGACAGATCTAAAATACAGAGAAACAATTACAGATAAGATGAAAGAAACTATTGGAATTAATGTGTTTAAAAATCCTGATTATTTGATGACAGAGTAATGATATCAATTAAACTTAGGCTCTTATAATAAGTATACACTGACAAGCCACAGAAATGGGTGCATAAATTTCAAACTATTGGAAGGTAGAATATAATGATATAAACTATTCAGTAAATCCAAAATAAGGCAAGAAAAAGGAAACACAGAACAAAACAGGATGGCCTATGTTATCTCAAATATATCAGGAACGGCTTAATTCTATTTACAATTTTGTATTATTTTCCTTAGAGAAGGGCCCCGAAAGTGTCAAAGCTCGTAAAAGCCAGATCCAGCCGGAGCCAGGCCCGCCAGGCCACAGCCCTCCTCTGCTCTCAGCCTGTGCCTGTGTGAGAGCCAGGCCCCTGCCCCGCCTCCCTGCAGCCCTGGCTCCCGCTCCCTTCAAGGGTCAGGGTGCTCCCACCTGCACTCCAGGTGGATGGGAAGAGCCGCTCTCCTTCCCCCCAGCTTTAATCAGAGCAGGACAGGGAGCCCTCTGCCCAGGACAGCCACAGGAGGCACAGCGGGGCCACAGCCCCAACGCTCCTGCTGGCGGCTTACTTGGGTTTCTTGACGTCCGTCATCTTGGTGTGCTCCCCAAATTCCCGTTTCAGAAACTCCTCCAGAGGTCCCGATTCGTAGGGTCTCGAGCCGCGGAACACCTCATCCTTCATGCGGAAGTACACGCCACGCATGTAGGCCATGGACTTACCTAGGAACAAGGGGTCGGAGGTGGAGAGACAACAGGGCCACATACAGGACTCCACGGGAAGAGGACACCTTTCACAGAGGGCCTGAGCACAGGCCAGCTGTGGGGACCGGAGGCCAGCAGTTGGCAGGAGGCGGCAGGAAGACAGAGGTGCATTTCCAAGGGACTAAGCAAGCTTAAACTTCTGGGCCCTTCCTTTGCAACTTCCCACACAGGCAGAAATGCCCCCTCTGCAGCCCCAAGGCTCTGTACCTAATTTCGTAGTCACAATGTTGCATTACTTTCCTTAGAGATGGGCCCCGAAAGGGTCAAAGCTCATAAGAGCTAGATCCACCCTGTTTGTCACAGAAAAGAAGGACAGCCTTGTCCTCTGAGCCTGCAGCAGACAGGGCCAAGGGGCAGGCTGCACCCCAGGGGAGGAGACACTGCCCATCTGCCTCGGGGGGCCGGGGGGTGTGCAAGCAGAGGGGTGGCCGAAAGGAGGCTTCTGCCGTGTGAGAGGTTAACTAGGCGACTTCTCAAATCCCTTCCCTTGCCCCTGGGAGCCTGAAGACCCCGGATGAGGGAGAAGTGGCCCTGAAGACAAAAGTGACCCTTTCTGGTAGAGAGGCCCACCCTGCTCTGCTCAGACCTTAGAAACTGAAAACCAGAGAGGGGACATGGGGCCCCTAGGCCAGGGAGACAGCTGAGCGAAACACTGCAGACCCAGCCCCGACTCTCCCCAACTCTCCCCGACTCACTAGGGCCCCCCTCTGGCCCTGTTTCCCCACCTGCTCACCTAACGGGGCTGCGGTGAAGCACTGAATTGAAGCGAAATACCAGGCAATGCGCTGCAGTGACAGGGTCCTGAGCAACCGAACGATTGGTGGTTCTTCCCTTCCCAGGGCCTCCTGGGCTGGCTGTGCCCCGTGTTCCCGCAGCAACCCGGACTGGTGGCCATGGCCTCCTCACACAGCCCCGTGAACCCCCAGGTGCCTGTGTCCCCCCAGCTGACCAGGGCTCCCTGAGGTGGGCTGTGCGCCTGACTCAGCTGTGTCCCCAGCACAGGCCTGGCCTACAGGCCCTGGTGCCCTGGTGGGGTGTCCTCCCCTGGCGCCTCCAGGGCTTTGGATCACCAGGATCCAGGTTTGGGAGGAGCTCTGGAGAAAATGGAATCCGACCAGCACCAGGGGCAGGGGACACGGATCAGGGATGTCGAGTCCAAGGACAAGGCCCAATGCGGCGGTGGGGGGTCTGGACCCTGCTCCTCCTGGGCAGAATCACACAACTCAGACAGCTCCACAAAGCAGCCGTCGTGCTGCTGGCCTACCCAGCCCTCTGTCCAGAGAGCCAAGCGCCTGTCACCTCTGCAGAGCTCCGGTGAAAGGAGAGCATCTGTGGCCTAGGAAGTGCCGGGCTGGCAGCCTAGGGGACTGTGCTCCAGCAGAGCAACCCCTGTCGCATCACCTCCATCCCACCGCCTGGGCCCTTAACTTCCCCGTGGGCCAAAGTAAGTGTGCAGACTAGGGCTCTGCGTTCCTGACACTGCCCACTCTGTCCCTCGAACCCAGCACCCAGCCTTGCTCCTTCCAACCTGAAACCCTAACACCCGCAGCCCCCACAAGTGGCTTACAGCCCTCCCCACCCCGCAGCCCTCTTCTTGCAAAGCTCTGGAAAGGAACTGGCCCCCTCCGAGGGCAGGTCTCAACGCCCCCCTGCCCCTGCCACCCAGGGACTGCCCTCACTGTGCAGAATGGCCAGGGCCAGGATGCCCCCTGTGCTGGTCCCTGCCACCCAGTCAAAGAGGTCCTTGGTGGCCACGCCTGAGGCCTTCTCGATGGCGATGAGGAGCTGGATGATCACGAGGCCTTTCACGCCCCCTCCGTCCAGGCAGAGCAGGTGGTCGTGGCTGCAGTGGGGACAGCGGCAGAGGAGAGGGGACATCACAGCCTGGCACTTTGCATCTGCACTCTCTCAGCCCTCGCCCCGAGCGTCTGCGCCCTGGCGGGGTGACCCCAGGAGCCTCCTTGCCATTGGGGTGGGGGAGGGTGGGGACAGTAAGGAATAAATGTCTAGCGTTTCAGGAGGTGGGAAGTGTGACACGGGGTCAGCCCCACTTTGGACAGGGAGCTCCCTGAGGGCAGCGACCCGATTTTGGTCAGTACCAGGCCTGGCCCAAAGCAGTGCCTGATAAGAGTCTGTGTGAATTAAACAAGGCTGGTACCCCACAGCCGGGCCAGGGATGGTCGTGAGGGGGAGTCAGGGCACTGACGCAGGGGGCGCAGCGGGAGGGAAGGGCAAGAACGCTGAGGGGGCAGGTGCACCTCCAGGGCGCACCTAACAGGGCGGCCACGGAAGTGAGTGAACACACCAAGGCGGTACACCAAGGAGACAGCGCCGCTCCAGGGGAGGAGTGGCAGAGCCCTGCAGCACAGCGTCCTGGCCCGGGAGCAGGGCTCCACAGGCCATGAGAGAAGACAGCTTGCCCTGCAGGGGCTGGCGCTGGGTGTAGGCCCCGGAGAGCCTGTGCCAACAGAAGGCTGTGGGTTTGGGAGACCTGGGTGTGGGTTGCCACTCTGACCCCCACTCTGTGTGACCTTGAGCAAGTCACCTAACCTCTCAGGGGCTCAGGTTCTGCATCTGCAAAATGAGGTTACTAATTCCTCCCTAGGAAGGCTGGTGAGAAAGTGGGAAGTAACGGCGAGCAGACAAACGGACTGTGCTGTTAAGGGACGGGGAGAGAGTGCGGCCGGCTGCAAACACACTCGTCCCGGCACCTCCGTGTCGGATGGCACTGATTCCGGGCACCAGGGACTGTGCCTAAAGGGCAGGGCTTGGGCTGCTTCTCTCTTGTGCCCCATCACGCAGGCCTGGGTATACAGCAGGTGCTCGGGAAAGCAGCAGAGGGAGGCAGGGGAAGGAGCGGGGTGGGAGCAGCGGGAAGCAGCCACTGAGATCCCTCCAAAGGGGCCCTGGGTGCTTCCCCCCTCCCCCAACCACGAGGAGGTCAGAGAGGTCAGCACTGCCACCAGCCCCTCCAAGTCCAAGCTGTGCGACCCTATGCTGGTCCCCCAGAGCCTGCACTGTGTGTTAATGACCGAGAGGACTGGGCTCTCAGACTCGGTCTCTGCTGAGAACTGCAGGGCTAGAAGCAGGCCCCCCTCATAGGCTGTGGTGGGGCAGCGATGAAAGGCCCGAGCCCACCGCGGGCGCCAGTCGAGGCTTCACACAGGTGGCCGGCTGCCCCGCTGCACTTACGTGCGCTTCTCGTCCCTCGTGGAGTTCAGGATGAACGCCGGCTTCCGGGCCCGGGAGATGTGCACGAGATCCTGCAGCTCTGCGAGGCACAGGGCAGGGCGTGCTGGGGCCGGCAGGTCCCCACCCACGGCCCCTGTCATTCTCCACCTGCCCCTGAAGGGCTCCTTGTCCCAGGATGAAGCTGAGCCAGGGCCACAGGTGTTGGGGAGAAACGGGCTGGAGCAGAAAAGGGAGCCCACTGCTCTGGGAAGGTGTCCCCAGCCCACCCAGCCAGTCCCCGGCTCTCCTCAGTGTCTTCCTCCCAAAACCCTGAAGCAGGAACACTGCTGGGGTGTCCTGTGATCTGCGGTTCACCAAGTGTTTCTCTGTGTGTCAGAGCAGACGCCGCTGACAGCCGCCCTGGGCCTACGGGTCAGGCTCAGAGAGGTTCCGTGACTCATCCAGGGTCAGGTAACGAGAAGGACCAAGTTAGGAATGTTCCTCGGGGTTTAACTCCCTGCATGAAGGCAGATGTCCCAGCCACTCCTGACGGCCCTGGTCCTGACCCCAGGTCTGGAAATCCTCAGTGGCCTCTGGGATCAGCCCACCCGTCCACTCCGTCTGTGTCTCCCCTGTGCCCAGGCCGCCCCATGCCCACCCAAGCAATCAGCTGCCCCTCCTGACTAGCAGCCCAGCCCCCAGGTGCCTGGTGCAGCAGTGCACGTGACTGTGGCCCTGGACAGGCCCTGCCACCGAGTGGGGAGTCAGAAGCAGCACAGCAGGAGGGCAGGCTGCAGAGTGTCTCCAGCTCCCCAGGGCAGGAAGCCGCAGAGTGGGTGGGGGGAAGCAGGGGAGCAGCCAGGAGAGGCGGTGGACAGAGTGCCAGGCAGAGGGTGTGGGAAGAGCACGTGTGCTGGGCTGGTGGCCGGGAAAGGACAAGAGGGAGCAAAGCTATGGCTAGCATGGACACGACGGGCTCTGCCACCTCTCTAGGCCCAGGGCGTTACCCATCTGACGCCGTGCCCCAGGCCCACCATCCGGCCTGGCTCGGGTGGCGACTGCCTGTGAATTGAGAGACAGAGGTGGGAGGTGGAGGGGGCAGCTCCTGGGAGGGGAGTCCGAGGTGGAGCCGGAAGGACTAACTGCAGCTGCCTCTCCTGGGCTCACCAGGCCGGAGGTGCTGCTGTCTGCTTCCTTAACAGTTACAATAAAAGTCTGGTTTGTCAAAGACTGGTTCCTGGCTGCTCTCTGTTCAGGGGACCCCCCCCCCAAAACACTTGAGGTCCCTGGGTGGGCCAGCACACAGAAAGCCCAGAAAAGGGTCCCCATCTCCTCTGTGTGTCTCCCTGGCACCAACGATGCACCAGGGTAGATGCTGTGGTTGCCTGGCCACGTTCCAAGTCTGAAAGCCACCATCGGGGCCCAGAAGGAGGCACGCAGGTCTCAAGCCTGACTGAGGTCCAGAAAGCATGACAGAGGTGAAGCCAGAGAACCTGGGACTCCAGCCCCCAACAGTACTCCTTGCTGCCCACACTGAGTGCCCAGGAGGCAAGGAGGTGCCCACCTCATGGGCGCACTGGAAATGCCCAGGCCTGAGACCGCATCCAGGGCATCCTCTCAGGAGCAATGGACGTGGGATATTGCCAGGGGCGCCCAGGCCTCCGAGATCTACGGGTTGCCAGCTGCCGACCCCATCCCCCTTGCTCCCTCCAACAACCTCCACTCTGGACCCTGCCGCTTTCCCGTGGGGACTGCTCTGATCCCAGGGCCTGGCAGCCAGCGGGAGGACGGGGGTGGGAGGGGAGAGGCCTACCGAGGTTGTTTAAGCTGATCGGTGGGGGCTGAGCTCTTTCCAGTGAGAGGATGGGGTGAGGTGATGCCGCAGAGCCCTGCTCCATGGGGACCCCTGGGACGTGTGGGAAGCAGTACTCTGCCCCCACAGTTCTCAGCAGAGTCAAGAGTGCCTTCCTGGTGATGACTTGTCATAGTTTCAAGAAGGGGAGATGGGCACAGGATCAGAAATGGTGTCAATACGCAAGGGAGAGGCCCTTCCTTTCCATACTCGGTCCCCTGTCCCATCTACCAGGCTACCTGGGTGTGTGGGGACCTGGGGTGCCCCAGAGGACCCAGCCCAACCTGAAACGTTTGCTGACTCTAGCCTGTTACATTCCAAACAGCTTCCTGGGGCCAGGGAAGGTGCTAGGGCTGGCCACAGGACAGGGGGTAGGTCAGTGTCTCCCTGCCTGATGACTGGGGGACCCCCTCTCCTTCCACTCCAGCCAAGGAAGCAAGGCCCCCACCGCCACATTCAGCGATTCTCAAAAATGCTGGATGGACAGTTCCATGCAGGGTTTGAAAGGGACTAACCAGCCAGCCAGTGGGCACTTACCCCATTTGACAGATGGGGTAAGTGAAAAGCGTGCTGCGAGGAACAGCGCGTGCACACACACGTGCACACACACGCGCACACACTCGTACTATCACGCCCACAGTAACCCCCACAGCCCCTGAAGCCCTCCAGAGGGGGCTCCAGGCTGCTTTGAGGAGGGTCTGCTTTGTCCAGCTCTGAAGCGGGGCTCACCGGGCGAGTGCACAGCGCATGCACACGTGCTTATGTGTACAGGGCGCACACGGGGCTTGTGTGGTGCAGCACATGCAGTGACCCCACAGTTGTTCTCGAGAGCTGGGGTAGGGGCTGCTAGGAAGAGGACGTTAGTAAGGCAAGCCCCTTGGTGGGCCTATATCTACTGCCCAGGGCCCCTGTTCTTGGAGAAAGGACGCTCCCTCTCCGAGTGCCAGGTGCTCCTGGCCACTCTTAGGGTGCAGCCAGGGGCGGGTCAGCATAGGACGCTGGCACCTGATGCTGGAACTTCCCTCCTCCTCGGCCCCTGCGCCCACCCCACCCCACCTGACTGGCCCCAGAGTGCAGAGCACATACGTTTGCTGATCTTGGAGGCTATCAATGTAGGAGTCTCCCCAAAGTCATTCGGGGTGTCCACTTCTGCCCCAAACACAATGAGGGCCTTGATCATCTCCACGTTGTCTTTCTGTTGGGGAAGACGGGCAATAGCTCAGGGAAATGAAAGAAAAGGACCCCTGCTTCCTCCCCCTATCCATCCACTAACTCATAGGCCCTCCTGAGCCCACCCCAGTCCAAAGTCTGTGATTTGAAGGCCACTGCCCTGACAAATGAGCTAAAAGCAACCCCGGGTAAGGGTTTAAGAACCCAGTAGAAACTGGAGGTGACTCGCCCCAGCTCCGCCAGCTCCTCCTCAAAGGAGGCAGTGCATCTATGACCCCAGCTCAGGAGCCGTGCGGAAGGCCAGCTGCTGATGGCTTTCTGGAGTAGCGGGGAGAGGGTGAGGGAGGGCAGGGGCGGCTGTCTTGTCCACACAGTCCAGGTGCCATCTCTGAGGAGGTAACTGAGAATGCATCCCCCATGTCAGCCTTCAAGGGAGCTCCCCTCCACGGAGCATCCTGCGCTTAAAAACCTGGAGGCCGGGCAGGGACACAGGCCATGGCATGGTTTCCCAGGACAAACCAATGGACTACCCGCCTGGAAACCTGAGCCCTGGTCTTGTCACCTCCGTCTTCTTGGGGCCCGATTTCCCTGCCCAGAGGATGAAGTGATGTGTCTAGAATGTGGTTTTCCAAACAGTTCTTCATGTTCCATTACGCACAGGTAAATACGCATGTTTTCATCATTATTTACATATTTCTTTTGTGGTTATCTTTTATGGTTGGCACTGGATTACCAATTATGTTATTACCACTTACGGCAATAACAGGATATAACATTTCCTTCAAAATAAATGTAAGTAATCTTAAAAGTAAGCCACCTTGAAGAAGCGATGAAGCACATAATTGTAAAGGTGGTTGACGAATACGGCAAAAACCCCAGTATGGCAAACGATGAACCACACCAGCACTTCTCAAAGTGAGATTTGTGGACCCCTGTGAATGCATGAGACCCTTTCAGAGCTCCCTGAGGTTAAAATTGTTTTCATAAAAATGCCGAGGCGTTACGTGCCTTTCGCACCATGTTGACATTTGCACTGATGGCACAAAAACAATGGCAGATAAAACTGCCGGTGCCTCAGCACTAATCAAGGCAGTGGCACCAAAGTCATAGTTGCCAGACTTTCCTTCACACCCAGGCACTCACGGTATTAAAAAAAAAAAAAAAGCCAGTTTCATTTAAGAATGCCCTTGATGAAGCAGGAAGAGATAAAATTTGACACGTGTGTGTTCCGTAGCATAAAATGGAGAGTGTGCGTAAGGCATTTCTGCGGCACACCGAAGGATGATGGTTATCTCAAGGAAAAGCACTTGTATGACTGAGTTGCCAGCCAAAGTAGGTGCTTTTTCTCATGAACACCATTTTTTTTTTCTCTTTTTTTTGAGACAGAGTCTTGCTCTGTCACCCTGGGTAGAGTGCAGTGGTGTCGTTGTAGCTCACTGCAACCTCCAACTCCTGGGCTCAAGCCATCCTCCTGCCTGAGCCTCCTGAGTAGCTGGGACCACAGGCACATACCACAACACCCGGCTAATTTTTCTATTTTTAGTAGAGACAGGGTCAGCTCAGGCTGGTCTCAAACTCCTGACCTCAAGCAATCCGCCAGCGTCGGCCTCCCAGAGTGCTAGGATTACAGGCGTGAGCCACCGCGCCCAGCCCATGAACACCATTTTTACTTGAAAGGATGACAGACAATCTATGATCGTTCATCCTTGGGTATTTAGGAGATAGTTTCTCAAAAATGGATGCGGTGAGCCTGTTGCTTCAAGAAAAACAGCTGACGGTATTCTTTGCCAAGGATAAAAATCGAGCTTTCAAGTAAAAGTTGGAATTTTATAAAACTTGTATATACCATGGTGGGCTTGACAGCTTCCCCAAATTTAAAGACTTTTCTGATGATATTGGTGGGAATATTTACAAATGTGGGATTTTGCTACTGTATAATGGAATGAGTCAACATTTGGAAGCTATGTAAACTCAAGTGAACCAATATTTTCCAAGGATAACACAAACTCATACAAGGATAAAAGATCCATGCAAAGTATAAGAGACAACATTGGATTTTAAAGTAATGAAGTATGAAAATTCACGGAGATGGTTTCAGAGTACCCAGTGCAACCTACATGTCAGAAACTACAACTTGTCAAGTTTTGGTGTAATAATCCATGTGTTTTCTATAAAGCTATCATTACACCTTCTATGCATGTAACAAACACACGTACCCCATAAATATGTAAATTATTATATATCAATAAATGAGAAAAAAAGAGTATCAAGGGACCAAACAGACCAAAAACGTGACAACTGCTGAACTGGATCATTCCAAGGACCCATTCAGTGCTAAAAACGTCCCTGGCTTTATTTATAGTTTCAGCCTCAAGCAACAATGTCTCCTCCACAATTACGACCTTCGGTATAAAATGGTATCTTTGAATTTGTCCTGAATCTACTTCTTTTAGAGTCCCTGGGGTCTCTCTATCACTCTGAGACTTGCTAAACCGACTTATGTACGTATGGTATTGTCATAGATACATACACATGTGCACGCACACGTCTGTAACACAATAACGTCCCCCTCCCCTAGGTTTAGTATGTTCACACTCTAGTTGTCTGACCAGACTGTAGGGCTTTAAGGGCAGCGACTACACTCTATAATAAACCAACAAACGTGACCAGCACCTACCATGCGCTACCCAGCCGTGTCAGCAGGCCCTGCCTTCCCGGAGCTTACAGTCTACAGGGGAGGTGACAACAACACACAGATGAAGATTTCCCCTGGTGATGAAAGGAACACTCGCATCTGCAGGATGCTTACTGTGTGCCAGGCACAGCGTGCGTCATGAAGACATTCTGCTTAGCGACCAAGTGCCTACCATTTAATCCTCCCAACAACTCTGTTAGGTAGGTATCGACACCGCCATCTTCCAGATGGGGAAATCAAAGCTGACAGAGGTGACACGGCTTACCCAGGGCCACAGTTCATAGCCAGACCTGTACTTTTTCCCTCCCACACCACACACATGTCAAATTGGGGGAGGGGGACAGAAGGAAAAGGTACCAGAGCACAGTGGAGGAAGACATTATTTTGGGCTGAGAGGGCGATGTGGAGGGCTTCCTGAGGGAGGAGGCAGGGTCTGCCTGAGCCTGGGAAGGGAAAATGATTCTGAGGACTGAGGAAGGGAGGGAGCGCCGGGGAGGTGTGCTCCAGCTCTGACAGTTCCCCCATGTCCCCGTCGGGCCCAGCAGGGGAGGACGCATGGGTCGCAGGCTCACCGACATGGCCAGGTGCAGCGGGGTGTTCCCGTGCTCGCCGCGGGCATCAGCGTTGGCCCCATAGGTCAGCAACACCATGACGCAGTCGAAGCGGTTGCGCATCACCGCCACGTGCAGGGCGGTGTTCCCTGCCGAGCTGGTGCTGTTCACGTCGCAGCCCCGTTTCAGCAGCATGCGGGCCATCTGTGGGAGACGGGCACTCAGGGACAGCCGTGGCCTATGGCACCTGGGCACTGCCACTTCCTCCCTGAGAGGCCTGCGGGTATTGGGCTACAGCAACAGGAAGAGTCCTGGGGGCAGGCCCCAGTTCTGGGGGAGGCCCTGGACACTGGCTCCCACACCATCAGTGCCCCAGGAACCAGGGGACAAAAAGCTGAAGATGTGCCAGCTGTTTTTTTTTTTTTTTTTTTGAGACAGAGTCTCACTGTGTTGCCCGGGCTAGAGTGCCATGGCATCATCCTAGCTCACAGCAGCCTCAAACCCCTGGGCTCAAGCGATCCTCCTGTCTCAGCCTCCCGAGTAGCTGGGACTACAGGCATGCGCCACCATGCCCGCCGGCTAATTTTTTCTATATATTTTTAATTGTCCAATTAATTTCTTTCTATTTTTAGTAGAGACGGGGTCTCGCTCTTGCTCAGGCTGGTTTCGAACTCCTGAGCTCAAACAATCCGCCCGCCTCGGCCTCCCAGAGTGCTAGGATTACAGGCGTGAGCCACCGAGCCCAGCCATGTCAGCTGTTTTAAGAGGTTTCTGGTCCTTTCCTGGAGTTAACAGGACCCCATCCCTCCTTGCAAAGGCTCCTCTGGGCCCTGTTCCAGAAGTGCCCCACTCCCTGCATCCCTGCCTGGGACCCTGCAAAGGTATAAGCCCTCCCTGGGCCTTGGCAACCCACGTCCCTGTTCACCCAGCAGCCCTGGGGAGTCTGGACACCCCTGTGCCCAGAGCCCGGCCCCACTAGGCCCAGCTATCTACGCTTGGACAGGTCACTACAGCCCTGGCATCGCAGGTTTCTCTTCTGTGGAAATGGGAATGCACAGTGTGGTGCCAATGAATGACAGGCCACACAGGAGAGGGCCTGACTTGGTGTCCAGCTCCTGGAACACAGAGGCACCCCTGAAGCTGGCAGTCCCCTCCCTCCTGGCCCATCACGTTTGGGGAGTAGGCATGACCTCTGGGCATCCAGGGCCCTGCCAAGCTGTGTTTCCTGTGATGGGAACAGAGGCCCCCGTCTTCCCAGGGGGCAGGGCTTGGCTTAGAGAGAGACCCAGAGGAGATGCCCAGCCAGGCTCTGTGGGAGCACTGGACTCATCACCACCACCGTCATCTCCATCCCCATCATCATCATCATCATCATCGTCACACACCTTTACAGTCTGTGCAGGATTTTTTCATGCACTACCTCGCTGACTTCGTAACACCTCCAAAGGCCAGAAGGCCCCTGATTCATGGATGAAGAAATCGAGGCACAGAGGGGACATCGCCACCCAGCCCATGAGCAGCCAAGCAATGCCAGGATCTCAGCTCCCTGTCGACTTATCTGCCCTGGGACCACTGCGAGATCAGCCCCCAACTGCTGTCCTCAGAGCCCTTTCAGGAACCTCCTTCCTGCAGGCCCTGAGGACCCAAGGGCTCGGGGACCCCGCCCTGCCCCCACTCTACCTCTGCGTTCTTGGCCCAGTGCAGGGGGCTGGCTCCGTAGCGAGGGTCTTTGCTGTGGATCTGGCTGCTGTCCATGCTGATGATCATCTCAGCACACCTGGGGAGAGAGATGCCAGTGAGCAGCAGTGGGGTCACCTGGCGAGGGATGAGGCCATGATTTAGGGCTTCCTCTACTGGTTAGGGAGAGCTTCGCCTGCACATAACGTTGCAGCAAATCCAGCAGCACGCGCACCATGGTCTGTCGCCATGGCTGTACTGAGCCCCTCGGGGCACATCTAACCCCCTCCTCCAGGAAGCCTTTCTGGTGACTGCAGCCAGCAACAATCACTCTGCCCGGTGCTGGCTTTAGAGTTGGACAGGCTTGAAGTCAAGCCCTCACTTCTTCACTGGTGACCTCTGGAAGCTGAGCCCATCTGCAACACAGGGACAGTGCTAATGGGAGTAGCTTGGGATTAAAGGAGACAAGGCATTTGAGAGCCTAGGTCTGTGCCTGGCACACAGCCACCGGCCACCTCCCCATCCCCTGTCTGCACTGTTGGTGTTTCACGTGGTGACCCGCATCCTGGAGTGGGCAGCACGGCAGAGTGGTTAGGACTGCAACTGCCTTCCACTCCCCAGGACAGAGCCGAAGGCCGGAAAGCAGGGACACAACCGGCTCTCTGCAGGCCCGAGCACTCAGCAGCGTTATTCACAACCACCCAGCAGCCTACCGATGAGAGGAACGAAAGGATAAACACACGCGGGAAATATTATTTTGCCTTAAAAAGAAAGGAAATTCTGATACGTTCTGTGACACAGATGAACCTTGAAGACCCTGCGCTAAATGACCAAGCCAGACCCGAAGCACAAATCCTGTCTGACTGCGCTTATACGAGGCACGTAGACCAGGCGCTCACAGACACACAGAGCAGATCAGAGGTTACCGGGGGCTGGGGGAAGGGGAGAATGGGGGGTTATTAAGGGTTACGGAGTTTCTGTTTAGGGTAATAAAAAAATTTTAGAAATAGTGATGGTTGCACAATGTTGTGAATGTAATTAATGCCACTACTGAATTGCACACTTCAAAATGGTTAAAATGGCAAATTTTGTTACATATATTTTACCGGTTTTTAAAATCAATGTAATATACCCAAACCATTGTATTGTACACTTTAAATAGGTGCATTGTATGGCATGTGAATTATCTCTCACTAAAGCTGTTTATAAAAAAAGAAGAAGAGTGCAGCTACTAGGGATAGCCCTCGGGTGTCATTCCCAGCTCTGACACTTACTGACTGCCTGACTTTGCCCAAGTTGCTTAATCTCTCTACGCCTTGGTTTCCTCGTCATTAAAAGGGGATAAAACGCGTGGGCTCCTTGCGAAACAGCGCGCATAAAGGCTGAGCACAGTGGCTGCCGCAGCGGCACTGGACAGTGCCCACCTGTCACTGTGGGTGTGATGCCATCTATGCGCCTCATCCCCCTGCAGCCCGAGGCGCTGGGCCCAGCTCCCTCCCTGGGCCCTCTGGGGCCTCCCAGTGTCCGCTGAGAGAAAGCCACGGTGGCCCCAGCTGGTCTCCACGTGTGGCTCCCCAAAGCCTGCCCTGAACCCCCACTGAACTCCACCGCCTGAGCACCTTCTCTGAGCACCAGGTGCAGCCCCTGCACAGCCTCCGGCTCAGCCCCCAACTCTCTGCCTGGGATCATCTTCTCCCCTCCCTGGCCGGCGGCGCAATCGTCCGAGAGTCCCAGGCACAAACCCAGCTTGGTGTAAAAGCCAGCTGAGTCGGGAAAACAGCAGAGGGGCCCAAGTCTGGCCTGTGGGGTTCTCAGAGCAGGGCTGTGCTGCTGCCCCGTGGAAAACGGATCTCCCTGCTGGGGGCCACCCCAGGTAGGAACCACTCCCTTTGTCTTCTGTGCAAAGACTCTATTGTGTGATCAGACACCAGTCCCAGGCAGCACGGCCTGTGTGGCGGCAGAGAGGGAACGGTGGGGACTGAGGGTGTCTGAGGAGTGAGCAAACTGGGCAGTTATCGGGCTCCTGCTCCGCAAGGCGCAGGGTGGCTGCAGTCAAGCCAGAGTGGGGCCATGGGCCAGCCCTTTGGGTACAGCAGAGCATCACCCGTCACTTTATGTTCACTCAGGTGCTACCAGGTAACCTCACTACCGGGGGGCTGGTGTTTTCTCTAACCACTTGGTCCAGTCTCTCTGACAGTGCTAGTTCATTTTGGCTGCGCTTGGGAGAGTCAAGGCAAGGAGGGTTTGTCTAGGCTTGGCCCAGACCCTAGAGAGGTAGCAATGCCTCATGGGGACCAGCAAGGCGGGTGCAGCACAAGACAAAGGGAAAACTCCACAGGCGGACAAGAACGTCACCGTTTGCACCCTCTCCCCACCCGTCCAACACTGTGCTGCGAGGTGTTGGGCGACTTGGGTGTTTCCGTCCTGGAGCTACTTGGGTCAGGGCTCACGGCCCATTCACTTCAGTCAGGCCAGTGCTTAGCACCCTGCCCGGGACTGAGCAGCTCATTTATTCGTTCATTCTAGATATTGTTCCTGCGGGGGAGTATTTTGAGATATTCATCTCTTCTATCCCACTTCTCCACACCCACGCAACACACACACACACACACACACACACACACACACACACACACACACACACACACACACACACACACACACACACACGGAGAGCAGTTTCCTGAGACCAGGGTTTCCCAAGTCTGGGGACAGGTGAAAAAATGAAAGAGTGACCTAGCGCTCCCAAGACATGACCTGCACCTGCCTCCCAGCAGTGCCACCAGCCAGGAAGGACGGAGGCACCCAAGTAGACAGAGCCCTCGCCCACCCTGCCAAGCATTCCCCGGCTTCAAGCCGGGCACAGAGAAACCCAAGAGCACAGCAGTCACGAAGGGCTGCTCGGATGAGCTGACAGGCTGGGGTGGAAGGGGACGCAGGTTGGGTGGGCCCCTCTAGGCCTTGAGGTCACATCAAACTCCAGAACTGGAGTACCACCTGCGGGGGTTGGAAAGGAGGGACCCCAAGGAGGACTAAGATTGGTTTTCTCCAGTTTCTAGAGGGAGGTTCACGGTCAGAAAAATCTAAAAAGTTCTATTCCTTGCACAGCTGAGTTTGTGAACCGAGATTCCCACCCACAACACAACGATCGAGCACTTTCTTCCTGGCAGGCCAGCCCAAGAAGGCTTGTGGACCCGGGGCCTCTGCTCTGCAGCTGGGTGTGCTCAGGTCCGTGGAGGACACGCTCCCCTCAGGCAGAGGACAGAGGATGCGAGAGCTGGAGACCCCCAGGCCAGGTGTGGGGTGAGGAGGGAAGTCTTACCCCTTCTGGGAGAACTTCATGGCCGAGTGGATGGGGTAGCCGCCGGGCCCCATGACGTTGCAGCGGGCGTTGCACAGCAGCAGCACGCGGACCATCTCCGGCTTCCCCAGCTGGCAGGCCAGGTGCAGCGGGGTCAGCCCCTGGTTATTCACCTGGTTCAGGCCGGCCGACGCGTTCTTCCCTAGAAGCTGATGGCATGATGTTGGGGTGGGTGGGAGCCCGACACAGAGGGCCCCCTGCGTGTTCCCGCCCTAAGACCCACCGGGCTATCCCTCTCTGGGGACAAAAGGGGAAGAGAAGTTGGCTCCATAAGGACACTGATAAGAACGTAAAGAGGCCGGGCACGGTGGCTCACGCCTGTAATCCTAGCACTCTGGGAGGCCAAGGCAGGCGGATTGTTTGAGCTCAGGAGTTCGAGACCAGCCTGAGCAGGAGCGAGACCCCATCTGTACTAAAAGTAGAAAGAAATTGGCCAAACATCTAAAGATAGAAAAAATTAGCCGGGCATGGTGGCGTGTGCCTATAGTTGCAGCTACTCGGGAGGCTGAGGCAGGAGGATCGCTTGAGCCCAGGAGTTTGAGGTTGCTGTGAGCGAGGCTGACGCCACGGCACTCTAGCTGGCGCGACAGAGTGAAACTGTCTCAAAAAAAAAAAAAAAAAAAAGAATGTAAAGAGAAGCAACAGGGAAAGCAGGTGGGAGTACATGAAGAAGCTGACTGTGCCAGTGTGAACCAGGAGTCTACCTGGCGTGTGTGTGGCTCATATGAAACATTTCTGAACCCAGAAACTTAACAGGGGATCGTGCCTTGGGAGGGCAGTGGGGGTCTGGGTGGGAGCAAGTCTTACTTTCCTTCTGTCCTGCTTGATTTTTTTTCTACATGCAGGTATCATGTTTCCAATAAAAGAATACCAGTATTAAAAAGAGAGCTGGGAGAGTTTTCTTTTCTCACTTTTGGAAGAATGTGTCTCCCTGAGGTTAATTACGACCACTGTGTATTTGCATGACACCCCCACTGGGCCAGAGCCACAGCAGGGAGGGCGAGGGGCTGACGTAGAGGCCCCACCCTGTCAGCTCTGTGGCCCCCTGCCCTGGGCACACTTAACTCCTCTGAACCCCAGTTTCTTTGGAGAGGAAAAGAGGATAATGCCCCCCACCCCATGAGAGCATTGTGAGAATTAACTAGAACACATACAACACTCTGCATAGAGCCAGGCACCAACTGGCACTCAATAAAGCACAGCTAGAGTCTGCACGACTCCCGAGAAGAGCACACACGCCCTCCGCACGAGGCAGGGTCTGCGCGGCGCTGCGCTGGTGCTCGGTGGGGCTCAGTGAGAGTGAGTTCAACAGCGAGGGTGGAATTCCCTTCCCTGGGAGCACGAAGCATAAGACATGAATTCACACTTCTGAGAATAACGTAGTTCCATTCTGATGCCAAGGCAGGGAGAAGGACGTAACCTTTAGAAGAATCTTCTAATTCTAGACAATAAAATAGAATTCAAAATCCTGCTTTTTCCTTTCAACCTAATATATAAAGTAGCTTTCAAATAACATCACTCCATCTACCTGCCCACAATTTTTTAGAAAATCTTCTACCTAGGTATTCAAAAAATTAATAGGAGCATCTTTAGCACAAATGCCTACAGGAGGTGGAGAGAGTTTGGTTTGGTTTAGTCTGAGTTCCTATAAAGGAGCCCCTCCAGGCAGGGGTCTGGCTCACAGGAGGTGCTCGGGAAAAGCGGAACTAGTTTAGTTCGCGTAAGTGACTGGAACTGGGCCTGGAGTTCAGTTTGCTGGGTTGGAGGACGTCCCCAGGGTTGTCAAGCAAAGAGGCCAAGGATGTGTTCTCTTGACAGGCATCAGGAGGCAAGAGCCAGGGAGGGGTGTGCACGCTCCACATAGGAGCTCAGGTCTCAAGGACCAAGGGGGAACAGTGAGAGGCCCAGGAGTGACGGCTGAGCCCAGGGGCCCAAAGAGAACTGTGGGCACAGGGAGGTGTCAGTACCTATCACCCTGGCCCTCCCCTCACTCACCTGCAGCACCTGGGAGTTGTCCCCCTGGACGGCATAATGGAAGGCGGTCTCTCCCTTGTTGTCGCTGACGTCCATCTGGGCGTGGCAGTGCTGCACCAGCTCCACCAGTATCTCCCCGTCGCCCTTGCGGCAGGCCAGGTGCAGGGGAGTGCAGCCCTCCTCGTTCTCCCTGCTATTGGCGCAGCTGCAGGGAGGGCAGGGAGGTGAGCAGGCACATGGCACAAGGTGGCGGGGGTGCTGGGACACCCAAGTGCAGAGCAGGGAATTCAACATTCCAGTGTGTCTGAGAGCATTCCTGCCACGCTCAAGCTGGCTGGTTCAAACTCAGGGCTGATTCACAATTCATCTCTATCTCATGTGGCTTGTATTGGGTTTTAGTTCAGTTTGCACACTCGTATGAGAGATGGCAGAGCCGCACCAGCACGAAGTGGGCAGTGAGCTGGCATAGAAAAGGGTGGCGGGATGCAGAAATCTCCCTAGCCCAGGGCAATTCACTCAACCTCTCTGGGCTCCAATATCCACACCCACACAGCCTGCTGTGCCTGGCCCAGGGAATGGACAGAGCTAAGTGAGATTAGATGCCATGCTGTCCAAGATCATGTCTGTAAACTGTAAAGTACACTGAAGTTTTAAGCTTTAGGCCTGGGAGTTGAAACAAGCTGCCTGGGGTGGAGAACCAGAGGACGTGTGGCTACCGCTGGGGGAGATGGCCAACTGGCTTTCTGTGCAAGGGCAGGCAATAGCTGATATACCTGCTGGCTGAATGGACGTACAAAAGGAGGCATTCCCGCTTCCAGAAGGGCAACCAGATTTGGAAGGAGACCCCAAGGATCTGAGCCCTTCTTGAGCCCTCTCCAGCTGAGGGACTTGCTCTCTTTGGGATGACAATAATTCCAGGGGATTGGGCGGATTCGGTTTTGTGGTACGTATAAATCAGCTCCCAGAGGACGGCACCCAGTAAGCACTTGCTCCTTCTGACTTTAGTAAGCGTCCCTACGCTCTAACTCAGGAGCAATGCTGCTTCTCTGTAAGTCGAACTTGGAGGAGAACGGAGGCAGAACTGAGAGACACCCCACGGCCCCACCTGCCCACACAAGTGGGCAAACACCTTGTCCAGACGCTCGTGTCCCCCTGCCCACCTGATGACGCGGCTGTGATGGAAGCATTCGCGGATGCCCAGCTCCACCGCCAAGTGCGCCGCCGACCAGCTGGGGTGGTTGCGGACGAGGTCAGTCAGGTGCTGCAGGACCTCGGTGTGCATCACCTGGGCGGAGCTCTCGTAGAAGGGCGGCAACTGGGAGGTATACTGTTGGAAGTTCACCAGGGCATCGGCCTCCGACTCCAGCTGGAAGAGTCTGTGCAGCCAGGACAGAGGCAGACACAGAAATGAGCCGGGTGGGACCCTCGGCCCACACACCTGCTGGAATCAGAAAGCTAAGGCCCGCCCCGCTCCAGCCTGAGTCCCCTACCCGGGGCCCGCACGCACACACGGCTACATGCACATCTAAATGGAATTCAGTTTCAGCTTTTTTTTTTTTTAAAGACTTTCTTTTCTTTCTTTCTTTTCTTCGGTACCATCATGCGGTGCTTTTATATTAATATTTTATTTCACCAGCTCTGTCATATCCACTTTCTCATTTAATTGCCACATTTAAGAGCTCCAGCCTCAAGTACCTGACCCTTTGTACATCGTAGGAACTAAATAAGTTGTTTAACCTAAATGTCCAGCAATGGAATATTATCTAAATTGTGGTACATCTACGTAATGAAATACCATGCAGCCATTAAAATGAGATATTAAAAGAACGCGGAACTGTTTAAAGTTAAGTAAAAAAGCAGGATACAAATTTCACATAACACAATGTGTCTGAGGGCGGTGGCTCACATCTGTAATCCTAGCACTCTGGGAGGCCAAGACGGGAGGATTGCTTGAACTCAGGAGTTCGAGACCAGCCTGAGCAGGAGCGAGACCCCGTCTCTACTAAAAATAGAAAGAAATTGGCCAAACATCTAAAGATAGAAAAAATTAGCCGGGCATGGTGGCACATGCCTGTAGTTCCAGCTACCCAGGAGGCTGAGGCAGAAGGATTGCTTGAGCCCAGGAGTTTGAGGTTGCCGTGAGCTAGGCTGATGCCACGGCACTCTAGCCCAGGCAAGAGAGAGACTCTGTCTCAAAAAAAAAACAAAACAAAACACAATGTGATTGATCTTAACCATGTAAAAAAAAAGGAGGAAGGAGGCAATGTGATAAAATGTGCAGGGAAGCATGATAAATAATTTAACTGTTCTCCTTTATCCATTTGTGCAGTTTCTAAATCTTCTATTATGAACATATATTATTTTTATAGGCAGAAAAAAAGTTTTGTTCATATTTAAAGAGTTGGGTTTGAGTCCAAGTCTTGCTATTAAGTTGCTGTGTGACCTTGGGAAAACCCTTTCCCTATCTGAGCCCCATATGAAACATGAGACTAACTGCACCTACTCCACCAACCTCCCAGAGGTGCTGTGAGGACAGATGAGAAAGTTCTGCAAAAGCACTTTCAAAACCATACCCATTACATGTCAGTGGTGGTTGCTTGAAGTTCTGACTAGGGCTTTCAACATACCAGAAGGTTTTGTCTTAAACACCCCTAAAGCCTGCAGCCAGCCGGGGTCCAGTGGAGGCAGTGCCCAGAGAGTGCTGGCTCAACAGGGCAGGCCTGTCCTTCCCCAGGGAGTGCAATCGCGTAACTATCGGCTGCGCACAGGATCTGTGCCTGACACTGCTCTAAATGGAGCGGTAAATTAATGAACAAAATGCATAAAATGCCCTGTCCTCCTGGAGCCTACGTTATTACGGGGAGATCAACAAAATGCGTAAAGTAGAAAAGCAAAATAAGGAAGTACATGAAGTAGACTATAAGGTAATCAGTGCTCCAGAAACAACAACAAGAAGAAAATAAGACAGGAGGAGGTGGAAGGAAGCCATTCCTCATTCCCCTTGGCTGGTTTCGCCCCGCCCCCATCTCACCAGCCTCCTAACTCCGGAGTGCCCACGCCAAACACTGCTGACACGTCAGATACAATGCCAACTGAAAACTGATCACTGGAGCTATTATCACAGAGGCCTGAGCGACCTTGACAAGAGTGCTTCCAGTGGAGTGGTGGGCACCCAAGCCCGACCGGAGTGGATTTAAGAAAGAATGGGATGTGAGAAATTGGAGACAGCTAGTATAGAGAATATTTTTGAGGCGTTTTACTGTAGAGGAGAGCAAATAAAGGGAGAGATAGCTAACGGGGAAAGTTTCATCGAGCATTTGAATGCTGATTAGAACGGCCTAGAAGAAAATGGGTCTCTGAGGACTTCCACTTCCATGAATGGCTCTAGGTAATGTGAAACAGACCACCTACCGAGGACAACCAGAAATGCTGGACAAACTATAAAAAGCATCTGCTTACAGACACTGGAGACCTAAAAAGACAGCGATGAGTTACCAGGCTTGAAGAATTGATGGAAACCCAGGAACTGAGACCAGTGTTCAGGCTGCTGTTACTTGATAGGACGGGGGGACATGTAGCACCTTTAGCAGCCTCAGGGGCTCAGGACACCGGGACAGGAGTCTGGGGATCTGCCAAGGAGAGAGCCCTGATGAGCATCTCTTACGTTGGGCTGGGATTCTAAAGGACTACAGCTTAGGAATAAGGGTGAGCCGTACATAAATAGGCCCTCCCATGGACTGCAGCTTGGCCTCAAACAATTTCAGTTCCAGAAATTGGACTGAGGTTATCCTGACTGAGAGTGCTCCCAGATACCTGGAAGAAGCAAAAATAAATCCCCTCTGAATGAGGAAATGTCAAACTAGGCTTCACATTATCTCTGCAGTACAAACATGCAAAGCGTATTTGCACATACAATGTCCAGCACATAATCAAAACTCACCAGGCACATGTGGAGATAAGACATGAAAGAAAACCAACAGAAACAATATCTAACAGAACAGATCTACAAGTGGGGTGGGGCTATAAATACTGAAGTTATCTGACACAGACTTTAAAATAACTGTGATAATATTCAAGAGGTTAAAACAGGAAATTTTAAAATTTTGGCAAAGAACTTTAAACTATAAAAAAAAAGAATCAGATGGAAATTACAGAATTAAAAAATACAACTGCCAAAATTAGGACCTCAATAGGTAGATATAACAGCAGACTGGACAATGCTGAAGAGAATAGGAAGATAAGTCAGGAAAGAGTAAACAGAATAAAGCATAGAGAGACAGAAGGATGGAAAATACAGGAAAGCAGATAAGAGACATACACCATATAATGAAAAGATCTAACATACGTATAAGTGGAGAGCAAGAAGTGGAACAGAAAACAATTAGATGGAAGCCATATTTGAAGAGTTGACATCTTCAAACTTTCCAAAACTTATTTTTTAAAAAACAACAAACTATTCCATTGATTTAAAATACCCTATAAGCTCCCCCCAAAAAACAAAACAAAAACAAAACAACAGAACCAGAAATCAACACTTAGGCACCTCATGGAGGTTTTAAAACGTGGCCCCCAAATCTTTGACACTCGTTCCGCTGAGCAGTGGGAATTTCTATCTCTTCACCCCTTAATCTGGCTCTGTAACTGCTTTACCAATAGAAGGTGGCAAAAGTGATGCTGTTCCAGTTTCCAGACTGAGGCCTTAGGAGACTGGCAGTTTCTACTTCTTTTCTCTTGGGGCCCAGCCATCATGCTGTGGGGAAGCTAAGGCAATCCATGCAGAGGACTCTTGGTCCTGGACCCCTGGCCCTGGGTGAAATCCTAGTCAGCATCTAGCACTAAATTGCCAATTAATTATATGTGAGTCACCTTAGAATTGATCCCGCAGGCAAGCTCCCCAGCTGATGCCATATGGAGTGGAACTGAGCCTTCCCACTGAGCTCTGCTCAAACTGCAGATTTGTGGGCTAAGTGATTATTGCTATAAGACACTAAGTATTGGAGTAGTTTGTTACGTAACAATAACTGATAATGATACATGCAGTTCAACATATTGTAACACGGTAATAATGGATATATGTCCCATATTATAACTGCTGAAAACAAAATACAAAGAGAAAATATTTAAAACAGCAGAGGAAAAAAGTTATCTTTAAAGGAAAACATTAGAATGACAGCTGGCTTTTCAACAATGAAAGCCAGAGATAATGGACGGTCAATAGGCAAGACAGAAGGAAGCATCATCGCATGCTAAATGTGTGGGCTAATCTAAGTAAATATTGATCGTATAAAGTCCTGTCGGGTTTTAGATAAAAACTAAGTAATATAAAAAAAACGACACATGACATAGAAGCCTGGAAAGGGATAAATGGAGTTTAAGGGTTCTAAGACCTTCTGCAAGACACTAATGTACCAATTATACAGTTCAGTAAGCCAAGGATGTATCTTTTAATGTCTAGGGTTCTGTCAGGGACTCTGAAAGGTTTCAGATTTTGCCCTACTTGCAAACTAACAAGTTAGCCTGACACAGTTTCATGGATGCTGGTAGAAGACACAAGATTCCTGGGTCAAAGACAAAGGGCACTTTATTACTCACAGCAATAAGAGGAGCCAGAGTATCAGCATTTGTGCCAATTCCCTGTGATCCAATTCCCATAGGGTGACATGAAGAGGGTCAGGTGACACTTGCTAATGTTGCATTACAAGAAAGAAACCCTGAGCTTGGAAACCTGAATCTTTTATAATCAGCAGTAAGCAAATCTAAGTTTTGCTCCAGAGGAAGATACTATCTTTATTATACTGAAAAGTAAGCAAACCTACTCTCCGCTCTAGAAGGAGACCCTATCTCTATCTTCCAGGGTTGTCTGCTATAAAAAGGTAGCCTGGTTCTGGAGGTTGACACAGGTGTTAAAAAAAAAAATAGATAGCCTGGGCCAGGCATAGTGGCTCATGCCTGTAATCCCAGCACTCTGAAAGGCCAAGGCAGGAGGATAGCTTCAGCTCAGGAGTTCGAGACCAGCCTGAGCAAGAGCAAGACCCCCGTCATTACTAAAAAAATAGAAAAAATAAGCTGGGCATGGTGGCGCATGCCTGTAGTCCCAGCTACTTGGGAGGCTGCGGCAGGAGGATTGCTTGAGCCCAGGAGTTTGAGGTTGCTGTGAGCTATGATGATGCCACTGCACTCTAGCTGGGGTGACAGAGCGAGACTAGATCTCGAAAAAAAAAAAAAAGAAAAAAAAAGAAGGGGGGAAGGACAGCCACCTACTCTTTAAATGATTAAAAGTATAAGGAAATATATTATACAAATACAAACCAAAAGAAAGCTGGTAAAGCTATTACATGTTAGTATTAGGCAAAGTAGAGTTTTAGGCAAAAAGCAT